CGCGCTCGTCAATTTCGTTGCCTCCGTTGTCAATTTTTATGCGTATAGGACACAGTAATTCACATCCCATAAATCCCTGGTCAGGGAAGAGGGGTCTGTTTGTCAAGAATAGAATTGTTCAGAACATTTTTTCAATAACATTATGAAAACAATACCCAATGCAGCCAGTAACATTATTAACACAATGTAGCAAAAAAACAAAACAAACCACCAATATATCCTCTCTTATTGAAGACCGTTGGGAATATTAGACTAGTTGTTTATGGGATAATTTGAAACAAGATACTTATTGGTGCAGTCAGTTATTGATTCCTACATATAAATTGCTGTTCTTACCTTGGAGGGAACAGTATTGGGTAATTAGACCACCACTACATTTCTATTTTATTTGGTAGAACTAGCATGAAAAGAAACCCCGATTACAAGCTTGTTCAATGATCTTCGGGTTATAACCTCAATCAAATGTTTGATTTTATCTGTACACCAATGTTTTTCACTAAGCACATTATCAGGCCATCTCTTGGTTTTGGCCAAAGCACTAACACTTTATTTCCCTGAATAACCCAAGCTGCCTGTGATGCGCTAGAAGGTTAACAGTCATATGACTTATCCCACGGGTACCCATGAACAGAGGCAATTTTGAACAAAGTCACTTGCCTAAGGTGCGACCACATGCATGACATGTGAGAAACTCTCAGGAGTAAAGCTGCTAAACACGGTCACCCATTAAAGTACTGTCTGCGACCCTCTCAGGAGTCAAGCTGCTAAACACGGTCACCCATTAAAGTACTGTCTGCTACCAACATTGCTTAACTTCTACTGATTTGTGACCTGGGCTCTATGCACAGTGAATCACACGCCACCATTGATGTATACTGACATACAAGCATACCTTCAGGTGTCTTGATCAGCGTGTTGATTAAAGACATTAGTTTCATAAGATTTCTTGTAAGATTTCTAAGGTTTCTTATGAAACTGAATCAAAGACATACAAGCACACTCCTACACAGTAAAGAACTTAGCATTGCACCACTGCTGCCAGCTAATGCGCATATCATGTGACAAGACTTCTCTGATTTTATACAAATGCACTTCTTCTGAAATCAGAACTGATTAACCAAATGGAAAAGTGTGTTTCATATTTTATAGATCTTCTACAGCAACTGCAACAGTGAGGAGTATGACCATGTTTGTCTTTAAACATGAAAATGGCCTTATTGCTGGCGTCCGTAAGCTCAAATATGCTGTGGACCCAGTCTTTTCTAGAATGTTTAAAGGGGTACTCTCTTTTATGTTATTTGAAGTAATTCAATGAGACAGACCTCAAGTTCAGGTATCTATACCGTCCATAGACATTGATGTGAGGCTGGGCCAGCTGGACAGTGGTCACTTGCACGACATGTGTGATGTCTTACTGACTCAGTGATGACTAACTGTAATTCAATGGCAGAGTGAAGTGTGTCGGTTAAAGAGTAGATTGGATTTCTGTGCATGTGTGTCAGATGTTTTGCTACTTAAATGTCCTCACCAGTGCTCCACAGATGCAGGTAATAGCAGCACTGTTGAAGATGCATTGATCCCCTGAGAAACAGTATCAATATCTGTCCTTGTATCTTGACTCCCAGCAGTGACAGCTGGGGAACTGCTTCTCATGGCAATATGAAACCAGGAAAAAAGTTGGTTTCTGCTTCAGCACGGCTAGAGAAGTGCACTCAGTGATAGAGACACATTTCATCAGCTAGTTGGGATTGTTTTGTTGTTTTTCTGTTTGTATTTGTGAGTTTGTCCTGAATACGTTATGTTGCTATTTTGGATTAAACACTGAAGCAACACCTGACCTGACTGATGACATCTTGTTGAATATTGTTCTGAAAGTTATAGGGATGACATTATTTGTTGCTGCCCAATATTATACTCATTACTGTTTTCTCATATTAACTTATCTGATAATTGATCTTTTACCCTGATTACTGCTCAACAGTCACTTGAATGATGTGACTAACTACTACTTTCCAAACTCTTATTTGAATGATATAACTAAGTACTACTGTCCAACAACTTATTTGAATGATGTAACTAAGTACTACTGTCCAACAACTTATTTGAATGATATAAGTAGCTACTACTGTCCAACAACGTATCTGAATTTGGAAAAGCTAACTACCACTCCTCAGCAACATATTGTATATGTTTCAAACTCTAAACGAGCATGCGTAGATAATAAGCAGTTCAGAGTTATCAGAGCTTAAAATATTTCATGCTAAGAACAATGTATGTCAATACGTTGAATAAATACCATTGGCTCCTTGTATGCTGTTTCGATAGAGCTCAGTGGTTAATTTGCTCTGTTTATTAGCTTGTCATGCTGAAGGCAGGGGTTTGATTCCTAGAATGGGGTCAGATTTAACGACAGATTAATTATTTTGTAATGAAATTACATTTCATTATCTTACAATGGAGTGTATTTTATTTGGTTTGAAGTACATTTTGATCCCCTTAATTGTTAGTTTCATGGCTACAGGTGTAGCTGATACCGTACATCCTGTGGAGCAATAACTCTTTCAAGGTGGTATTACGTTCTCCGAGGTAGTAGCCACCCCTCTACACAATGTTTGTCTGTCCCCCGTCACTGTAGTATGACCGAGTCCAGGTAGAGTGGAGACATTTATGGACCAGTTAGTTGTATACCTGTGATCCTGTGTGTTTACCTGGCTGTGGTCACTCAGGTGGAACAGGAGGGGGATCAAGTTACACACACCTGTACGTTAGGGTAGGGGTACTTATAGAGGGGTCAGTCCGTAACCTATAAGTATAATGATCCTATGTCTACAGATGAATGGAAATTAGTTACAAACCTAGCTGTGTGTATTTATCAAGTACGTTTCTGTCAGTACAATAAGATATGTAAACATCACATCAGTTGTAACACAGATGTAATCATAGGCCGATGACCTACACTTACAAAAATGAACTGGATTTGTGTTTACTCCTGAGGGAATTTGTACATCAAACCGGATGTTATTCAAGTGGAGACACTGCTTCATGTAAGGTAGGTTTTATTCAGGTTTACCTGCTCAGCTGGAATCATGTTTTGTCAGGTATGATTAGAAAGTTTGAGGACGGCTTAATGGTGTATAGGATTGAAGCTGAATGAACCTCAGGGTTCAAGCATGAAGAGGTGGTTGCAAGCTGAATGAAGTAATGCCTTGGAATATTTAAGGACTTTGAAGTTGATTGAAGGGTTTTTTGCAGTAAGACCTCAGCGATACTTGGAGTAAAGGGAGTTTGGGGTTGACTGAAGGGTTCTTGCAGTGAAACTTCAGGGATACTTGATTGAAGGGTTCTTGCAGTGAAACTTCAGGGATACTTGGAGCAAAGGGAGTTGGGGTTGATTGAAGGGTTCTTGCAGTGAAACTTCAGGGATACTTGGAGTAAAGGGAGTTGGGGTTGATTGAAGGGTTCTTGCAGTGAAACTTCAGGGATACTTGGAGTAAAGGGAGTTGGGGTTGATTGAAGGGTTCTTGCAGTGAAACCTCAGGGATACTTGGAGTAAAGGGAGTTGGGGTTGATTGAAGGTTTCTCGCAGTAAAACCTCAGGGATACTTGGAGTAAAGGGAGTTGGGGTTGATTGAAGGGTTCTCGCAGTAAAACTTATGGGAAACTTGAAGTAAAGGGAGTTGGGGTTGATTGAAGGTTTCACGCAGTAAAGGAGGTTTCAAGTTGAAGAATAATGGGGTTCATGAAATAAGGCCTCAGGAAAACTTGGAGTTAAAGTCTCTTTGGTTGATCAAAAGCGGTTTTGCCGTAAAGGAGGTTTCAAGTTGAATACTTTGAGGTTCATGAAATAAGGCCTCAGGGATAACCAGTTGATAATGGCTGTAGGGTTGAATAAAGTGATTCTTGGAGAAAGTGCTAGTTTCTGCAGTTAACACTAACACTGTTAACTTTAGTTACTATGTTTACTGTAGTTATTATGTTAACTGGTTGCTTTAAGGTTACTAAGCGTACTCTAGATATTGTGTCCGGTTGATGTTACTGTAGTTCCTCTCTCTATGTATACATATTCAGGTTACTGTATTAAATGAGGTTACTGTATACAATGTTCACACACTTACTAAACCACTGTTTGACTTGAAATTCTGAACAGTGATATGTTATGGTGCGGTTGTGCATCGGTACTTGTACCAGTTTGTATGATATGGAAGTCATGTCATCAGGAATAGAGGGGGCATACGCAATGTCTGATAACTTCTTTGAGTGGCATTTTAGAAGTTGGGAAGTACAATATAGAACAAACTTTATGGATAACAACTTCTTTGTTTTCTTCGTTACATTGTTACATCCAGTATATATACACTTCCCCCTTCTTCATGTTCCATTATGCTTGACAACGGTACAAGAATCTGGATGGAAACGTCGCACACTCACGAATAAAAAGAAGTTGTTATCCATAAAGTTTGTTCTATATATTGTACAATGTCTGATGTTCACTAAAAGCAGTTATCTTCGTTAGTCCTGTTGTTATTCTATTGTGATGTTGCGCAGTGATTTTGAAAGGGACATAGGGAATTGTGGACATTTTCATCATTTCATCACTTGAGTCATCATCACTAAGCTTGAAAAAATATCTTGGAAGACAATCACTGAATATACTAGAACATCAACCAATCAGTATCTGTGCTGATCATGTTATAAGTCATATCACCATCTTTGCTACGCAGCTTTTAAGAAATGTTTACTCCTACGTTTGCCATAGCATGAATCCTGGGATCCGATAATCAAATGTCACTCCCTTGAATACAGCTCTTAAGCCGAGCCTCAATAGCTGTATTATATATCTTTTCACAACACATTGCATCAATATCTTTGTCACATAGCAATCCCCACCCCAACGGAAGGAAGCTGTTTTCTATGTTATCATTATTAATCTCCATGACAGTTAAATATTAAAATATATAGCTGTTTCGTTCCTCTTTTTTTTTAAATCTATAAGAAATTACCTTAAGACTGTTGGGAATCAACCCTGGCCTTCAGACATCCTACAATGTCCAGTCAATGTCGAATGTCCCACCCTGGCTATTTGGGTTGATAACGTTGGTGTTGGCAACACCTCACAGGGAGGGATTGTTTACATCAGTGTCCGAACACTCTGCACAGACTCTCTTTGTGATGTGAGTCGAAAGTCCCTCCACAAGTTAATGTAGATGAAGTTGATTCTGTAGATCCTTCCCCACTATCTGACTCGACCGATTTACAGAGCTGTCACTTTCTATTGTGCCCCTTTGAATGATTGAAGTACGTGCTGGGTGCTTGTGATCAGGGGCCAGTGGTCGTGAGCTGTGTATAGAGGACCTGGCTAGTATGTTTGCGGTGGAGTCTGTGTGTCACGTGGGGTGTGCACTGTAGGTACATGCTACCTATCTACAGGGGGAGAGCCAGGGACACCTACTGTGTCAACATCTCTTCATACCGCTGGTGTGACGACAGGTATGTGAGGGTTTGGATGACAGGAGAATGGTGTTATCATTGTGCTTCTATGGTTTCTTTGCCGATTGACTCAGTCTTGATTCTGCCAACTGTCGCCAGGTGTATAGATTGATATAGACTAAGTTTGTTGAGGCTGGTTCCACCACTCCTTCACTCAATGACAGCAGGTCACGTCGTGTACTAGGTATGCTTCTACTCTTCACTTCTTTGTCCAAACATATTCCAAACTGAAACATTTTGTAGTTGCTACCTGCAATAATGTCAGAGTTGTGATGTTGTGCATGGCAATCTTAGCACTAAGATGATAGTAACTAGTCTACCTTAACATTGACTTACGACAATGGCACATATTGCTGTGGTTGTTTTGTTAATTTTGTACAAATATTGTTGATTTTTTTGTTTTATTTTATGGGGCATGGCAGTATACCATGCTCCAAGTCATGATGATTCTGTGAGCCTTTGTAGGTTTTTGCCTCTGTATTTGAGTCTAATGACTCTATATTCAGCTTTAACATAAGCTCATGGGTAGGACACCTTGCCTTCCTTGCTTGCTTAACAGCACTGGTGTACATGTTATGTAATGCTAAATCAGGATGCAGTTATTCACAACTAAGTATAGTTTTGTGTTGACAAGTCGAGCCATCTTGTCATATTGATTTTCATAAACATGCATAATTCGATATTTGTGTGTGTGCTCATCTTCCTGAAATGATATGTGGCTGTAAGCCCAGGTATTATTGACATGTTTAGCAGGTATTGTTACATGTGGAAAATACATGATCACAACTTAGCAGATGCAGCGTAACTTGAGGCTGTGACGTCTTCAGGTTGTGAATCCTGACACTGATTGTCTGGTCTGTGTGGCAACATCTTGAGTCAAGTTGTTTCTATTTCCAGAGCAAGAGAAGAGTCGGGGGCCAGGAGGTGCGGAGGAGGAGTCAGCTACGGGGAAGTAAGTCCACTGGCATCACACACGGAAACTACTTCTTTAAACACAGCTAACTCACGTAGATTGTTTTTGCATTGTCACTGACCTGAAAATGCTGCATGCTCATGTGACTGATTATTACATTGTACTTGACCTGAAAATGCTGCATACTCACGTAACTGATTATTACATTGTACTTGACCTGAAAACACTGCTTATTCATGTAACTGATTATTACATTGTCAACTGACCTGAAAACACTGCTTATTCATGTAACTGATTATTACATTGTCAACTGACCTGAAAACACTGCATACTCATGTAAATAATTATTACATTGTAATTCACCTGAACACAGCATTCTCATGTAAGTAATCATTACATTGTAATTGATCTGAAAACACTGCATACTCACGTAGCTGGTTATTACATTGTGATTGAACTGATGACTGCATCAATATATGAAAGACGTATAGTCTTATGAAGGGTCCCAATAACCATGCTTGTTGTATCAGGATATGTGCCACGCTTGGTAGATAGTCATCGTACCCCAATGTACATTGCTGATCATGTTACATATAAGTAATCACAGGTTTGTCTGACCCAGACTCAATTGTGAACAGGCTGTTTTGATGGATATGGCTGAAATATTGCTAACTGCTGCATTGAACTACGAACCATTGAACTAGAAATGTCTCCATTCCTGAAAAGTAATTAACAACTGAGATGAAAGCATGACGTAACATACCGTAATGTCACAGGTATATGCACATGGGCCCCATCTTAAGTTATATTTAAAAAAATATAATCAACAAAGAACATAGCTGTAAAGAAGTTAATAGAATATCACCACATGCACCAATACATATAGTCAAATCAAACATCCATACCTCCCTTCTCATTATATTGTTGTGAGCCGATGTATGAATCCATCGGTCAACGATTAGTGACGATGCAGTGATGAATGCTGTACGGGACCAGTCACGACAAGCAACACATGTTCGAGTCAAGGTTTTGTTTACAAGGCAAATTCCATTTCACAAGTTATTTGAACAACAGGCATGGATGAATGGTTAGTTTTTTTAACTTACATAAGAAGGTACAACAACTGAAATATTTATATACCGATCATTAAAGATAGTAGGTTGGAACATGATTTTGTAAATGAATACTGGAGACCTGTCAATTATCAAGATCTTAGAATTAACTCTGGGCAAGTCATTACGTGGGGATTAATTTGTTAGTTCAAATTGACTTTTCTTAGGGACAATGAACCCTTCCAACCTTTTACAAAGAAGAAAGAAATAGGTTAAAAAGTGATATAAAAAGAGATGTATTGAAGTTTAGGGAAATGTGTTACTCACTCAGAGGCATTTCTGTAAGAGGTTAAAGGTTTTGAAAGTATATCTTTTACATATATATTGACATCAAAACATGTTTCTTAATTTTAGGTAAATTTTTCCACTGGTGCCATGTAATTTTTCAGTAAGTTTCTCATCCTGAACATAACGAAATATTGATGATGAACATGTAGTGAATAGCTTACATATTCTGAAATCACTCATCAAACGAATTACATGTTAATTGTTGTTACAATGATAAGTGTTTTCTTTGAGAGGCATGTTAGAATAGAACTCGGATTTCCTTAATGGTAAGTGTTGTTTGTCAGCTTAGCTGGTTCCAGCGGGTCGTGTTGTGGACTCATTGATCCGGCAGTGTTCTGGCTATGAACCACGGAGTTGCCACCTCTGTCATCGGGGTTTGTCCAACTCTGGAAGAGGGTCCTATTTCTGGGACTCTACGGTATATGGTTCTCATATAAGGTCATATGACCTAAAAGCTGAATAAATAAGGAAAATATGTCTTCAACTTCCCATTAGAATTGACGAGGTCAGATCAGGTTAGATCATGTCAGTTCTATCTCAACATTTTATCAATGTGGACAGATCACCGATTATTTTATAGAGCACGAAGTTGATGTAGAATGAGAGAAAGAGCACGTGAATATTTGTTCCAACAGTTTGAGAGACCCATGAGATCTAGTTGATGAAGAGTGTGTTTCAAGTGTACTTACAATTTGCATTAAGAGAACTGACTTAAGGCTGAGTGGTTGTGTCACCATCACTGTGGTAGAGGTCCAGTCAAGTGTTGGATATGAAATAATAATATGGTGCAGGCTCATCTAGGTGTGTATAAGTGCATGTGATGATGTGCATAAGCATCCATCAACACTAGCACCAGGAATCTGCATGTGACACATGACCTCCCCACACTGTATCCTGACCCAGTGTTTAGCCACAGACAGGATGGTACACTTCCCTTCCACTTCATGCAGGAAGGACTGTGATGACTCCATTGTGGCAGGACATCCACTCTGTGGTGGCCGAAGTCAAGATTAATGTGCTGTTTCAGGGATACTATAATTTGTGTGGAAAATAATTTAAATCAATCCATGTTTTGGTTTCAAGAATTTGGATACTTTGCCAATCTTTCTTTTGTTTGAAGGATTTTTGTGGATTTGTATATATGAACTTGGCATGTGGAATTTGTGTACTTTGTGTCATGATTCACGGAAGAACAGAGTGAACCAAAGTTGGATGAAGACTGAAAGAATAATTAACGAATCTGACTATTGTCATTAATCTTTCAGGTTAGTTTGATCAGCTCCTAGTCATGTTGTCTGAATGTCAGATTACGATGTATTGTCACGGGATTTGATGTCAACTCTGTGACCTTGAATAGTCAGAATTAGGGATGTCAAGTAGGAGGATGTGGAGCCATGTGGTTGATGAAGTTAAGCATGCATTAGATGGATGGAGTGAAGCTTCAGAAGAAAATGGCAAGGTGTTCTCTGTTTTGTGAGCGTTGTGGACAGACTCTGAAGATGTTGTTGACAGGGTTGCTGGATCGATAGCTTTGTTGCATGTGGTGTGAGATTATTCCAGAATACCTTCCACGACGCCGAGATAGGTGTGTCACATGTTAGGGTGACAGTGGCTGAGGTTTTATGTTGAGATTTCATCTTGGAAACACAGCGAGCTGTTTCCTGAACTGGTTGAAAGTCTGTCTGTTTGGTGACATTGGAGGGTAATAGCTGAACCTGTTGTTCGGAAAAGTTTGATCATCATTTTCTGTTGTGAATGAGTCTGTGATGAGACAGGATGAGCTGGTCCAGTCTGCTGATCAGACGAGGATGAAGAGGAATATTGTGAATGTGACAAGGCAGTATGACAATCTCAAGACTCCGACACAGTCTGCAATAACACCAGCTGTGTATTGATTTCCACATACTTTGATACAATGTCTAAGAAACATGTTCGTGACAGACCCTGGTGAATTCAATATGCTTCGAAATCCAGCAACAAGTCATCTGCTTCAACTGTGACAAACTTCAAAGTGACTTTTGATCAGAATTTGAGATTCCGATGATTAGTTACGATAGAAACCACGACCAGTAGGTCATCTGCAACTTTGAGCTTTGATGTCCAAGGTGTTGACGTCTGTTAGTGTTGACGTCTGCTGGTGTTGACGTCTGCTCCTCCCATCTGTCCATCTGGCCGCAATGAAGCATGGGCATCATCTGGTCATATCTTTGGGGGATACGTATGCCTTGTAGAGCTGTTGTCCACACTGCTCCACCAGATGTACAAAGGTGCTACACAAATATAGTATATATACTCAGTCTTTTCTATTTATTCAGTTTCTAAAGTCGATACTGTATGCATAAGTTGGATTGATTTTACACATTGGATTAAAGCACTGTAATGCATTGACTCTCTGCATATATTTTCAATGGTGGAAACTGGATAGTGTGGAACTTATTGCTATTTGTTTATGAAATATTACGGAATATGTTGCTTATGAGTTATGTATGATACCTTGCTCTAAGTTCTTTTGTACTGAGTCTTTCCTTGTTTTAGGTTGTATGGTACATTGCATTTATTGTCCCTTTGTTGTAGGTTGTATGGTACAATTGTATTCATCCTCTCCTTGTTCTAGGTTCTATGGTACATTGTATTCATCCTCTCCTTGTTCTAGGTTCTATGGTACATTGTATTCATCCTCTCCTTGTTCTAGGTTCTATGGTACATTGTATTCATCCTCCCCTTGTTCTAGGTTCTATGGTACATTGTATTCATCCTCTCCTTGTTCTAGGTTCTATGGGGTGGTGGGGTAGCCTAATGGTTAAGGTGTTCACTCGTCACGCTAAAGACCCGGGTTGGATTACCCACATGGGCACAATCCGGAAGCCCATTTCTGGTGTTCCCCGCCATGATATTGCTGGAATATTGTTAAAAGCAGCGTAAAACCAAACTCACTCAGTCTCTTGTGTTGATTTTCACTTTGCTGTAGGTTGTATGGTACATCCTGTCCTTGTTCTAGGTTCTATGGTACATTGTATTCATCCTCTCCTTGTTCTAGGTTCTATGGTACAATTGTATTCATCCTCTCCTTGTTCTAGGTTCTATGGTACATTGTATTCATCCTCTCCTTGTTCTAGGTTCTATGGTACATTGTATTCATCCTCTCCTTGTTCTAGGTTCTATGGTACATTGTGTTGATTCTCTCCTTTATAATAGTACATTGTATTCTCAGTGTCCAGAATGTGTCAGTATGAAATGGGTTATACAGCTTGAAAAGACCACTGCTTCGTTTCAGAAATGTTCAAATAGATGTTCAAACTATTTGAGTTGTGGGTTGGCCATTTTAAAGTTGTATTGACTGTATCCCTCTCTTGATTCAACATTCTCACATTATTGTAATTACCACGTATCATTCTCCATGGCTGGAAAACATAGAAAATAGCGGTGTACTGTACTGTAGATACAGTTGTGTAAAGATGGTGGGGCAGTAGGGACAGTGAAGGATGCATGGATGGTACTTGAGTGATTGGTCACAGGAATTTCTTGCTGTACTGTGTCAAAAACACGTCCCATGTTGATATTTCATGCACTGTGTTGAAATTCTCTGAGCTAGCATGCTTTGACATGCTGGTGACATACTTTCCCAGTGGTGGTGTCCCA